AGCATTTAGTTTGGGAAACACAATATTAGCAAAGTTTGCTCAGGACTTCTGGGGAAGGGGGCCCACAGTGCCGGGACTGAGGCAACCCTGGCTGGAGGGGCAGGTCTGCCAAAATTGGGGAAGCAGGGGAAGCAGAAGCAAATTCCTGTATGCTCAGGCATTTTTCAAACTGCTGCTTCTATGCTGTATCTCTGCAGGCTTTTTTTGGTGCTATCTCTTTAGCAGCAGGGACTTTGTTTCCTGTTGCCCTCCCAGCTGTCCCAGAGCCACGCCTGCTGATTTTTTAAATTCCAGGTTTTAAGTTCTGTTGGTTGTAAGAACCATTTGAAAAATTCTGTTTTCAAAGCCAAATGTTTTGGGGATTCTTCATCCTCATGCAGTCTTTCTGCTGTGATAGTCTGTTTCTCTCCCCTCTCAGCACTTGTGGGTCCACTCCTCCCACAGATAGTCCTGAGGTCTGTCTGGTTCCTCACCAGGTCTCCACCCTTCCTATTGTCTTTGATGTGGGCTCTTGTCTACATTTAGTTGTAGAGTTTGTTCTGCCAGTCTTCGGGTCATTTTCTGAGTTATTTACACTCATGTGAGAGTTATCTAGTTGTGTCCCTTGGACAAGGGGAGCTTAGCGTCTTCCTACTCTGCCATTTTCCCAGCAATCCCTTGGGAAACATTTTCAGTCAAAGAAGTGCTAGCAAGCATTTTGACCTTACTGTGGGATGGCATACTGATTTGGTTAGGGCATGGGGCTAGTTCAAGCTGGGTTACTTAATAAGCCTGTTTGCATCAGCTAGGGAGTCACTATGGGCCATTTTGCCTTGTTGAAGTTTTCATTGCCCAAGTCTATTGCCTAAAAGCTGCATCTGCATTTATTTCTGACATTAACTGAAATGCTTTAAAACTACTTTTACAATCAAGTATGAAATTTACTAGAAGTGTGTAGATACCCCTAATGAAATGAAGGAAGTTCCCCTCTACTTCTCATTTTAAAGTTTTTGTTTTTGTTTTTGTTTTAATATTTTATTCATTTATTTGACAGACAGAGATCACAAGTAGGCAGAGAGACAGGCAAAGAGAGAGGGGGAAGCAGTCTCCCTGCTGAGTAGGGAGCTCTATGTGGGGCTCCATGCAGGGCTCCATCCCAGGACCCTGGAATCATGACCTGAGCCGAAGGCAGAGGCTTTAACCCACTGAGCCACCCAGGTACCCCGTGTTTGTTTGTTTTAAATCAGGAATGTATGTCCTATACCTTTCCCCAACAATTAATATTATATTTTTTAAGACTGTATTTTGTTAATAGATTTTTAAATATTGGTCCCTACACTCTTGGGATAGATGATATCTAGTTAGGATATTTTTTATGTATAGTTGGCAGTGCCCAGTTGTTTGCTAATTTTTAAAACTTGTACTGAATAATAATTTACATACAATAAAATGTACATATTTTAAATACATTGTATAAGAGTTTTGACAAAGGAATACACCTGAGTAACTACCACGATGACAAGGAATGATTTCACCCCAAAATGTCCTTTGTGCTCTTTCTAGTCAACGCCTACCATACCCCTATTCCACTGTTGCCTCTCAGAAACAGTAATCTACTTTCTATCACTACAGATTATATACAATTGTAGGGGAAAAGCTTAATGAGAATATTTACTCTTTTGTATTTGGCTTCTTTAACTCAGCATGTTTCAGAGTTTGTTACATGTGGTTGTATATATCACAGATTTTATTGCTAAGAGGTATTCAATTAAATGGACATACCATGCTTTGTCCATTCTCCTATGGATGTATATCTGAGTCATTTCTAGATTTTAATTATCATGAAAAATGCTATGAACAGTCGTTTACAAGTAAGTTTTTGTAGGTGTGTTTTCAGTTATCTTGGATAAATACCAAGGAATGAAATTTATGAATTATATGCAAAGCATATTCTTAGATTTATAGGAAACTATGAAACTTTTTAACAAAGTATATGTACCATCTTGCATTTCCACCAGCAGTATATGAAAGTTCCAGTGGCTCTACATATTTATCAACACATGGTATTGTCAGCCCTTTAAAATCTTTTAAATTTATTTGGTATGTAGTGGTATCTTACTTAGCTCCAATTTGCATTTCTCTGATGACTAATGGCCTTAATTAAGTATCTTTTGATATGCTTTTGGGGCATTCATTTATCTTGTTTGGTGAAGTGATTGTGAAACTTTTGGCTTTTTTAAAAACTGGGCTATCTTCTTATTAATCTAGCTATAAGTCCTTTATCACGTACATCTTGCAAATATTTACTCCCAATCTGTGGCTTATCTTTTCATTTTCTTTAGTATATTTCAAAGAATAGAAGTATTAAATCTTAGTAAAATCAATCATTTTTTTCTTTTGTGGTTAATGCTTTTTATGCCCTAAGAAATTTTTGACAACACAAAGGTCACAAAGATTTACTCCTATATATTTTCCTAAATTTTTATAGTATTACCATTCACTTTCAAGTACATTATCTCTTTCAAGTTTTTGTGTGTATAGTGTGAGGTATCAGTTGAGGTTTGATAATGACACATGTGGTAGGTAGGAAAATGGATAGATACCCAGTTATTCCAATAATGTTTGTTGAAAATTCTGTACATTTCCTTTTGAATTACTTTGACTCCTTTGACAAGAATCAGTTGACTACATATGTTTATCTACTTCTGGACTTTGTATTTAGTTCTGTTGATCTATATGTCTATTCTTATAACAATACATACTATCTTAACTACTGTTTAATAAAACTTTAAATCAGGTCATGTAAAACTTCCAACTTTGTTCATTTTTTTCCCCAATTTTTTTTCTTCTACATTCTTCTCATATAAAGTTTAGAATGAGCTTGTCAATTTGGGAAAAAAAAAAAAAACAACTTACTTAGATTTTGACTTGGATTATGTTGAATTTGGGGATAATAATATTGAGTCATCTGAATCATAAATATGATCTGCATCTCCATTTCTTTAGGGTTTTCGAAATAGTGTTCAGTGATTTTTTATTTTATTTTATTTTTTAAGATTTTGTTTATTTGACAGAGAGAGTGTGATCACAAGTAGGCAAAGAGGCAGGCAGTGGGGGGGGGGGGAAGCAGGCTCCCCGCTGAGCAGAGAGCCCGATGTGGGGCTCGATCCCAGGACGCTGAGATCACGACCTGAGCCGAAGCAGAGGCCTAATCCCCTGAGCCACCCAGGTGCCCCTGTTCAGTGATTTTTTAAAAATATTTTTTCAATACAGAGCTAACACTCATATTTTGTTAGATTTAATTCTAAATTTAACACTTTTGGTCTAACATATATTTTAAATTCAATTTTTTAAAGGTTTTATTTATTTATTTATTTATTTGACAGAGGGAAAGAGCACAAGCAGGCAGAGCAGCAGCAGGAGGGAGAAGCAGGCTCCCTGATGAGCAGAGAGCCTGATATGGGGCTCAATCTTAGGACCCTGGGATCAGGACCTGAGCTGAAGGCAGAGGCTTAACTGACTGAGCCACACAGGCACCCCTAAAATTCCATTTTAAATTGATTTTTATATATGGACTTGGTATTATTGTTAATCTGTAGTAGTTTTTAAAAAATGCTTATTTGAGAGAGAGAGAATGGGGATGGGGAAGAAGAGAGGGAGAGAGAATCCCAAGCAGACTCCACACTCAACCTGGAACCCAACACAGGGCTTGATCCCAGGTTGAGATCACAACCTGAACAGAAACCAAGAGTCAGACACTTAACCAACTCTGCCACCCAGGTGCCTCTGTACTCATTTTTTTAAGTTTATTTTAAATTTTATTTATTTCTTTATTTGAGATAGAGGAAGCTGAGAGAGAGATCATGAGCAGGGGGCAGGGATAGAAGGAGAAGCAGACTCCCTGCTCTGCAGGGAGCCCAATGTGGGAGTCATTCCCAGAACCCAGGGATCATGACCTGAGCCAAAGGCAGATGCTTAATCTACTGAACTACCTAGGTGCCCTAAGCTTATTTTATATGTATGTATTTTGGTAATCTTTATACCCAACATGGGGCTCAAGCTCATGACCCCAAGATCAAGAGTCACATTCTTTTCTAGCTGAGCCAGCCAGGAACCCCAATCTGTATTAGTTTTAAAGCTTTTTTCTGGTAGATTCCCTACAATTTTCTGCAAACACAATTATGTCACCTGTTAATAAAGATCACTTCTTCCTTTCCCATGTATGTGCCTTTTATTTCTTTTTCTTACCTTATTGCAAATGACTAGGATCTTCATATAATGTGTCTTAGTCCATTTGGACTGATATAACAAAAAACCACAGACAAGGTAGCTTAAAATACAAATTTATTTCTCACAGTTCAGTCTGAGATCGACCTGCCAACATAGTCAGGTGAGGCCTCATCCAGGGCACAGAGTTCTTGTGTCCTCACACGGTGAAAGGAGCTAGGGAGCTCTGTAAAATCTTTTATAAGACCACTAATCCATTTCATAAGAGCTTCACCCTTATGATCTAATCACTTCTCAAAGCCTCCACCAACTAATATTCTAATATGATGGTATTAGTTAGGATTATAATTTCAAGATATCAGTTGGTGGGGGAAGGGCACAAACATTCAGGACATAGCACAGTGTTAAGTAAGATGGGGAAAAGGAAACATTGTCTTTTTCCAGACATAGTGAGAAAACATTCAGTCTTTTACCACTTATACTTGATGATAGAAAAGGTTTTTATAAGTGCCCTTAATCAAGTTGAAGAAGTTTCTCTCTTGCTAGTTTGCTTTATTTTTTTTTCCTGAACTTTAAATCATTTTTAAAAATATGGAACACTTGGAGCACCTGAGTGGCTCAGTCAGTCAAGCATCTGCCTTTGGCTCAGGTCATGATCACAGGGTCCTAGGATTGAGCCCATGCCTGGCTCCCTGCTCACTGGGAAGTCTGCTTCTCCCTCTCCCTCTATCACTCCCCCTGTCTTTGTGCGTTCTCTCTCTCTCTCTATCAGATAAGTAAATGAAGTCTTTAAAAAAATTATGGAACACTTCACAAATTTGTCTGTCACCCTTGCACAGGGGCCATCCTAATCTCTGTATTGTCCCAATTTTAGTATATGTGCTGCCAAAGTGAGCACTGCTTTATTTTTCAAAATGTGAATGCTGTTGAAGTTTGTCAAAAGTTTTATCTGCTTCTACTGAATCATGTGATCATTTTTTCTCTCTTCTGGTAACATGGTAATTTTCACAGATTGAAGTTTGAATGTTAAACCAACCTTGTATTCCTAGATAAATATGGCTTGGTCATAGAATATTAACCTTTTTATTTATTGTTGAATTGGACTTGCTAATATTTTGCAAGATATTTTGCTTCTGTGGTCACAAGAGCTTTTATTGGTAGTTTTCTTTTATTGTTTTTGCGTGGTTTTAGAATCAGGGTAATGCTTAATTCTTAAATGAGTAAGAAAGCTTTCGTCTTCCTCTGTTTTCTAAAAGGATTTGTATAGGATTGATATTCTTCTGTACATTTTTTATAGAATTTACTACTGAAGATATCTAGGCACCAACTTTGCTTTATGGTAATGGTTTTAATAATTAATTCAATTTCTTTACTTCATATGGGGCTCTTCAGACCATATCTTCTTGATAATTTGTACCTTTCAAGAAATGGGTTCAGCTCATATAAGTTGTCTAATTATTGATATAGATGTTCATCATATGTCAATATTATCCTTTTAATGTCTGTAGAAACTGTAGTAATGTCCCTTTTTAAATTCCCAATATTGGTTATTTGTTTCTGTTTTTTATCATTCTGGCTAGAAGCTTATCAACTTAATCCGTTCAAGAAATTGGGTTTTGGTTTCATTAATTTCTCTATATTTGGTCTGTTTTCTATTTTATTTATTTCTGCTCTTGATTGTGAAGTTGCCTTCTGCTTTTGATTTAATTTGTTCTTTTTCTAACCTTTAAAAAACATTTTTATTGAAATATAACTCACATGCCATATAACTCAACAACTTAAAATTTACAATTTGATATCTTTTAGTACATTCATAGAATTGTGTATTCATCATCAGTCAATTTTAGAGCATTTTTCATTATTCCAAAAGGAAATTCTATACACTTTAGCATCACTTCCTGATTACCCAATCTCTAGGCAACTACTCATCCACTTTTGTTCTCTATAAATTTGCCCATTTTGGGCATTTCATGTATATGGAATCATACAATATTTTGTCCTTGGTAACTGATTTTTCACTTAGTATGTTTTCAGGGTACATCCATCTTATAGCATGTATCAGTGCTTCATTCCTTCTTGTTGCTGACTATTACTCCATTATACGGCTTTTCCAGCTTCTTAAGATAGAAACTTAGGTTATTAATTTTGGACCTTCTTTTTCTTTCTTTTTTTTTTTTTAAGATTTTATTTATTTATTTGACAGAGAGAGATCATAGGCAGGGCGGCGGGAAGCAGGCTCTCCACTGAGCAGAGAGCCCGACGTGGGGCTTGAACCCAGGACCCTGGGATTGTGATCTGAGCCGAAGGCAGAGGCTTAACTCTCTGAGCCACCCAGACGCCCCTGGACCTTCTTTTTCTAATGTGGATACTAAGTATTCTAAACTTTCTTTTAAGCACTAATTATTTCCATCATACTTAATCAGGGTTTTCTCTATTCTTTCTCTAATGAAATATATTTATTTTATTATGTTTTTTATAATGTCCTTTAATATTCTAAGATTTAATATTCTAAGAAAAAAATAATGGGATGAAAAACATGATATCTGATGTGTATATCTCTCAAGCTCAACTGCAGTATTCCTTGGAAAAAAATGGGGGAGGGGTTTTACTTGTGGAATTTTAAAAAATTATTTAAATTCAATTTAGTTAACATATAGTGTATTATTAGTTTCAGGAGTAAAGTTTAGTGATTCATCAGTTGCATATAACACCCAGTGCTCATTACATCACGTGCCCTCCTTAAAGCCCATCATCTGATTATCCCTTCCCTGTCCCTGCTGCCTGTCTAGTGACTGTGTTTGTTTCCTAGAGTTCAGCGTCTCTTATAGTTTGCTTCCCTCTCTATTTTTATCTTATTTTATTTTTCCTTCCTTTCTCTTATGTTCATCTTCTTTGTTTCTTAAATTCCACATATGAGTGAAATCATATGGTATTTGTCTTTCTCTGAATTTCTTCAAGAAAATACTTCATCACAATACATTTCTATCATCTGTTCTTTTTTTTTGTTTTGTTTTTAAAGATTTTATTTATTTACTTGACAGATCACAGGTAGGCAGAGAGGCAGGCAGAGCGAGAGGAGGAAGCAGGCTCCCTGCTGAGCAGAGAGACCAATGCAGGGCTCAATCCCAGGACCCTGGGATCAAACCCGAGCTGAAGACAGGGGATTTAACACACTGAGCAACCCAGGTGCCCCTCTATCACCTGTTCTTGGTCAGACTGCTGAGATCAGGATTTCCTAACTTGGGCACTATTGACATTTGGGCCTGATAATTCTTTCTTCTTTTCTTTTTCTTCTCTTCTTTCTTTCATTCTTTCTTTCATAACTGACATACAAGATTATATGAGTTTCAGATGTGTTTATTTTATTAAAAATTTGTTTATTTTATTAAAAACTGTTTATTTTATTTATTAAAAAATAATTATATTATTTATACATATAAATATAATATATAAATATATAACATATATTTATATATTATGTAAATAACATAATTATTATATTATTATAATAATAAAAATTTTATTTATTAAAAATAAGCAATAAAAATAAAAACTGTCCTCTTTAAAATTTTTTTTACTTTATCCAGTCTTTATATATATTGTGAAATAATCATGATAATAAATCATTAACATCCATGACCATACAGTTGCAATTTTTTTCGTATGATGAAAACTTGTAAGATTTACTCTTTTAGCAACTTTCAAATATACAATACAGTATTATTAACTATAATTACAAGGGTATATATTGCTTCCCCAGGATTTATTTATTTTATAACTGGAAATTTGTACCTTTTGACTACCTTCACCAATTTCACCCAACCCCTCCTTCCCTCTGCAACTACCAATCTGTTCTCTATATCTGTGAGTTCAGGTTTTTTTGTTGTTTTGTTTTTGTAGAGTCCACAGATAAATAAGATCATACTATTTATCTCTGACTAACTTACTTCACTTAGCATAATGTCTTCAGGGTCCATCCATCTTGTCACAAGTGACAAAATTTTCTTTTCTATGGTTGAATAATATTCCATTGTATGTATACACCCCCCCCCACACACACACATTTTCTTTATCCATTCATCCATTGATGGACACTTAGGTTGCTTCCATGTCTCGGCTATTGTAAATAATGCTGCAGTGCATGTGGGGGGCACTTATTTCTTTATAAATCAGTGCTTTCATTCCCTTTAGATGAATACCCAGAAGTGGAATTACTAGATCATATGGTTGTTCTATTTTTAATTTATTCTATTTATTTTTATTTATTTTCAGTGTTCCAGAATTCATTGTTTATTCTCCAGTGCTCCACGCAATATGTGCCCTCCACAATACCCACCACCAGGCTCACCCAGCCTCCCAGCATATTTTTAATTTTTTAAAAGTACTTCCATACTGTTTTCTGGAGTAGCTGCACTGTAAATACATTGATTTTAAAACTATTTTCATATTTTACTATAAACATTAAAAGTTACTTTTCCTATAAATGCTGTTGTATCCCACAGCATTCATTGTCTTTCATATCTAATTATTTCATAATTTCCTGATATCTGAAGCTCATTTTCTAGATTTCTTGGGAAGTGATCATAGAAACATAGAAATTCCTACATGTTCATAGATTTGTTTGTGCCTTTTATACTTGAATGTTAGCCCGATATAAAATTCTTTGTTCACATTTTCATTCCTTAACTATCTTAAAAATATATTAACCCATATTCTTCTGAGATTAAAGTGTTGCTGGGGCACCTGGGTGGCTCAGTGGGTTAAACCCTCTGCCTTCGGCTCAGGTCATGATTGTCCTGGGATCGAGCCCCGCATCGGGCTCTCTGCTCAGCAGGGAGCCTGCTTCCTCCTCTCTCTGCCTGCCTCTCTGCCCACTTGTAATCTCTGTCCGTCAAATAAATAAATAAAATCTTTTAAAAAAAAAAGTGTTGCTGTCAACATCTGATCATGATCTAATTTTCTCTTGCTTATAAGTCATGTGGACTTTTTGTCAAAATGCTCAAAGAAATTTTCTCCTTCTTTAAAATCTGATAATTTACAAGAATGTTTTGGTGTTGGTCATTTTGACTCATTATTCACAGATACACAATGTTCTTTTTCAATATATAGTTTTAAATATTTTAATTATTTTTTTATTATTTAGGGTTTTTTTAAAAAAGATTTTTATTTATTTATTTGACGGACAGAGATGACAAGTAGGCAGAGAGGCAGGCAGAGAGAGAGGAGGAAGCAGGCTCCTCGCAGAGCAGAGAGCCTGATGTGGGGCTCGATCCCAGGACCCTGGGATCATGACCTGAGCCGAAGGCAGAGGCTTTAACCCACAGAGCCACCCAGGCGCCACTATTATTTAGTTATTTAACTGACAGAGAGAGAGAGACAGTAAAAGAGGGAACATAAGCAGGGGGAGTGGGAGAGGGAGAAGCAAGCTTCCTGCTGAGCAGGGAGCCCAATGCGAGGCTCAATCCCAGGACCCTGAGATCATGACCTGAGCTGAAGGTAGATGCTTAACAACTGAACCACCCAGGCAGTCCTAGTTTTAAATATTTTAAGGAAAGTGTTGTGTCCCAGCCTATTCATAATGATGTTGTCACCTAGGAATGCCAGAGACACTTGCCTGAGCCCATATTATTGGTGGCAAACTCCAATAGAAATTTCCTAGACTGAAGTCAATGTTGGTGCCATAGCATCCCTTGTCGTTCTTAATATGATTGCAGGGTACACCTCAGCAAAAGCCATCAGAGACTTAGAAGAACAAAATTTATTACTTGCAGATTCTGGAGGGTACAGGGCATGCCTGAGGATTACATGGCAAAATCACAGGCAGAGAGAATGGGCAGGAGCCCAGACCTGAGCTCTGTCTTCATTGGGGTGTGAAGGTGGTGTGCCTGAGGTTTTATA